AAGGATGCTAACTTGATTGTTCTAGCTCTCAATGAGAGCACCAAATGATAGAGTATTAACTCCTAGATTCTAGAGAGAAGTGAGAGCTAGAGAGAGAAGTAGTATATTTGCCTGGTATTAATAAATTCTGAACCCCTACAACTACTCCCAAGGGGAGTATTTATAGAGAAAATTAGGGCTGGGCTCCCAAGTCTTGGGCTTGGGAGGCCCATTTACAACAGGGCCACTAATGGGTCGGATACAAAGTGTATAGAAATGATAAGTATAAAATCATGTTCTAGAGGCTATCTATGGGTGAAGAGGGCATGGCCGATGAGGGCATGGCCGATGAGGGCATGGCCGATGAGGGCATGGCCGATGAGGTCACCCGGTTCTCCTGACTTCTGGATCATATTCTGGGTGGCCTTCTTTCTGGCCGATGAGGGCATGGCCGATGAGAGCATGGCCGATGAGGGCACCCGGTTCTCCGGGCTTCTGGATCATATTCTGAGTAGATCTTTTCCTGGCCGATGAGGGCATGGCCGATGAGAGCATGGCCGATGAGGGCACCCGGTTCTCCGGGCTTCTGGATCATATTCTGGATAGATCTTTTCCTGGCCAATGAGGGCATGGCCGATGAGAGCATGGCCAATGAGGGCACCCGGTTCTCCGGGATTCTGGATCATATTCTGAGTAGATCTTTTCCTGGCCGATGAGGGCATGGCCGATGAGAGCATGGCCGATGAGGGAACCCGGTTCTCCGGGATCCTGGATCATATTCTAAGTAGACCTTTTCCTGGCCGATGAGGGCACGGCCGACGAGGTCACCCAGCGATCATGGTACCTTCTGTTCTTCTAAGTATGTGGGTCCTGGGGCCTAGACCCATATACTCCATCAAATGGGACTTCAATGTTTCCATTACATCCATAGGACTTAAAAGAGATAACTTGACAACAATACCCTTAATGAACAAATTAATATACTTATTAATAATACAACATAAAATAATAAAAGAAAATAGGAAGAATTGACAAGAATAATCTCACCTTTCACTGATCTTCTCATAATAATCCCACCTTTAAATAATCCCAAAATAATCCCAACTTTGCACCTCATCTTCTTTCATCGGACCTTGACCATGTTTTTTACTCTTTCTTTGAAAATTATATAAATAATCTCACCTTTCACTTTTTAATCATATCCTTATAAATGTGAGACTATTTATATATGATTTTTAAAAAAGGTAAAAAAACTTGGTCAGGGTCCAATGAAAGAAGATGAGGTAGACCAGTGAAAGGTAGGATTATTCTTGTCAATTTTTTCAAGAAAATATAATAAGCCCATCACAGTCTTGTGGCACAACACTACTAACATCTTTGATGCCACCTTCATTGCCGGCGGCGGCACCACCACCACCACCACAACTAGAGCCACCGCCGCCGCCTCCACCACCGCCACCGCCGCCTCCACCACCACCAGAACCATCGACGTTAGTGTCGCTGCCACCACGGCCACCACAACCCTCCCAATCTCTGACCTCATCCACTCTTGTCGCCGGCCGCAGGCTGCCGCCGCCATCTCCGGCATCATCGCTGCCACGTCCGACGATATGGCCGCTTCATCCAACATCAATGTACCTCATCTGCTTGAACTCCGACACCTCCATCGCCTCCACTAGGCCAACCACGGTAGATTTCATATCTGAACTCAGATCTGGCATGACTATCATTTAAATGTCATCTCGCAGTTGTAATGTCATCTTAGTGACATTATTGTCATCTTGCAGTTATAATGTCATCTCAATGACATTATTGCCATCCTGACAGAATAAGATAACATTTTCATATTAAAAAACATGGCACTAGTGTATATCCAAAGAAGTTATATTGCCATCTTTGTAACATTAGTGCCATAAAATTGGCAATATGCATGGAAATAATATTTGCACATAGAAATTAGGCCATTATTAGTATTACGTTAACAAAGGAGTAATAATTTTTTAATGCCACAAAAATTATAAAAGTAATCTGAAAAGTTACAAAAAGTTGATTGAAATTCATGTCAAAAATTATAATCTTATTGTAAAAGATAAAATAAAATGCTAAAAGAACAAAAGGTAAAAGAAAAATTGAAAGAGAAAATGAGACCAAAGTAAGAAAAATTTGATAGATTCAAATCTGGAAAAGGGAGAAAAAAATTGAAGCAAAATTAAAAGAAGGAAAAGAAGAGGAGGAGAAGAAGAAGAAGAAGACGCCGGAGAAGAAGTGGGGGCCGAAGAAGGAGGGGGAATCAAAATGTACCTGCAAAATCGCTACCATCCACCGGCGATCGGAGTTGAGAAGATGAAATCACCGTCCAAACCTTTGTAATCCGTCGGAGATGGGTGAATTTATTAGATCTGTTGGAAATATGGCGTTATTTTAGAGGATGATATGTGGTAGAGGATGAGTTGAAGTGACAAGGAGAAGAGGAAGAAGGGAGAGGGAAGAGGTACAGAAAAAATTGGTGCGTGAAAAGAAGATGGAGCATGGAGAATTGAGAAAGAGAATGGAGATGAGAGAGGAAGAGGAAAAGTTGTATGGACATGTACGTGCCAGCAACAGAGGTAATACGGGAATAAAATTAAAAAGTTTCTATTTGGGAAATAAAAATATAAAAGGTCATATTCTTGCACAACTACCATATTTTAGTCCTATATACGTCAATTACTTGTAAAATAATCATATTCAACAAAGTTAATCAATGCAATGGTAATGTACTTTTAGAATGTTTTCTTTTGAAATGAAATTTGTTGGTCTTGTATGGGTCTGCTCTGATCTATTAAAGTCTGGTCCGTTTTAAACTTATCTAAATTGATCTGATCTGGTAAATGTTTGGTCTCTGTGTATTTTATAATTGTACAAGCCTGATCTCATCTTGTCCGTTTAAGTTTGATATGGTATGATTTGTTTAAGTCTGATCTGATTTGATCTTATCTGAGACTGAAAATAGTCGAAAAGAAAACATATTTAATCTTACGTAATTTGATGACTACAAATTTATACAGTACTGTATTATTAGACTAGTTTAGTAACGCGCGTTGCGCGTTCATGGTAATGCCCAAGATCATTGAAGGACATTAATTCCTCGATTTAGGTTGAGCGAATATACGAGTAATATGAATACGTAGTTTGTTATTTATTGATAAGGAATCATAAACAATAAAGTATTCACTTTTCAATACAATATTTGTTTAGTTTTCATTTAACATTTTAGAATTATTTGTCTATTTTGACATTTCTAGTTTTCTACTATTTTTTATATTATTGTTATATTATTTTTCAAATTTATATGAGTTTTTATAAGATTTATCAATACTCTTAATTAATTGTTTTAAAAATAACCTGCTATAACAAGTCAAAGTGACTTGATTGATTGCATTTTAAAAGTAAGCACTGTTATATGATAATTTTTTTAATAAAAGGACGTAAGTGATGAATTGAATAATAATAGAAAGGTCTATTTGACGTTTTTTTCAAAAATTAATAACACCAACTCCTTAATGACTATTTAATACGGGGTAGCAACTACCAATTGTAAAAAATCATGACAAGCTTCATACTTTCGGAAACTATTGTTGGCCGAGTTCTTACTTTCCGCTGAAGATTTTTTACGCGCGTTGCATGACTAAATTAGTGTCCATTTTTTTATACTCGTACTTAATACTAACATTAGGTTATATATGAAGTACTTTTCATTTTTTACAAAAAGAATAAGAGTGAAGTTATTGGTTGTTGTAAATGAATGGGTTTCAAATTTGAATCTTTAGTTAATATGAGTTCCTCTTGGCAGACAGAAGAGTCTAAGCTAGTGTATGGTTATTACACTTAGCTTCATGTTTTCATTAATCTACCATGCACGGCTTAGGTTGTTGATGAGGAGCGTTCACAGAGTTGTCCAAGCAACAAAAGATGCATTATCTAGATCAAATATGGAGATGGATACCATGGTTTCATGAAGAGACACTTCTTGCGAATGTAGAGGAGATGTTAAAATAACACATGTTTATCCTAGATCATTAAAATACTAAAAATCTATATAAAATAGGAGATTTTAGAGACATAATAGTATATGAGATTCAAATGTATAGAAACTAAATAACACATGTTTATTTGCAGCAAAATAGAAATATCAAAAACCAACATAAAGAAGATTAGATCAAGCCTTACTTCGATAAATGAAGCGTGATAATTTACATCCAACTATTATTTTCTTAACTTAATAGAAACAATAAACTGTGATAAAATATGCCTCTTTGGAATAGAGTATGAATTAGACATGTGAAATTTTGTCTATAAATGAACGAAGATAGTATGTACAGAAACACATCTGGCAGAAATGAAGTGTTATCAAAATTATAGAATGGCCTTATAATCTGCTACCCAGTAAAAGTACCACTATCAACTAAAACAAAAGGAGATGTTAGAAACAAAAGAGTATAGGACATTCAAATGTAGAGAAAGTATATAATATAATAAATGTTCATTTGCAGCTAAATAGAAAAATAAAAAATCAACATAAAGAGGATTAGATTATGCCTTGTTTTGATAACTGAAGCGTGATAATTATTTCCATCCAACTAATATTTTCTTAACTAAATTGAATCAAGAAATTATGATAAAATATACCTCTTTGGAATAAGCAATCAGACATGCAATTTTGTCTATAAATAAACGAAGATAGCATATACAAAAACACATCTGGCAGAATTCAAATGCTGTCAAAATTACAAAATGACCTTACAATCTACTACCTATTAAAAGTACCACTATCACTTAAAACATTGGATTTTGGACGGGGTTATTTTGCTTGTAGCCTAACTTTGTGCGCGTGCGCGCGTGTGCGGCAAAAAAGATGTGAAAAATGAAAAGAAAACAAAATGATCATCTTTAGGAAATTTAGCCAAGAAATAAGCTACACTATATTGTTTTCATTTATAAATGCAACCATCAAAATAAAAAAACGACCACAAAACGTCCAATGAAGGTGTAAAATGCTCCTACCTTCTCATACACGTTCTTGTGTGTGACTTGTGTGTCTTTATGGGTTTGGAGTACTATCATGAAAGGTCAACACATTAGTGTTTTTTACCTTATTAAACTTCCAAAATAACAGAAACACATCAAGTAGTGTTATATTGTTTTGAGTATAATGTAGAGGAAGTCTATTGATCACCCTTGAGGAAGATGATACATAAAAATTCACCTGTAGCATAAAAAATTGCAGACCACTTTTATCATCTTCCAAAGTAGTCGTCAAATTTGCTTGATATTCTTCCTTGTGTGAAACAAATTTCCTTTATCAAAGGATATTGCTCCTTGATTGTAAGGGTGTATCAAAATTACCAACCATCTTAGCGTCTTGGTCATCATCATCAGTCTCTTCACCGCACTCAAAAAAATCACTCCAAATGGAATCTGAGTCTGCAAATCTAGCTATGGATACAGTAATGGGAAGGCACTCTTGTTCACACGAATTGAAGTGGTTTTGGAAATGAACTTGAATAGGTCATGCTAAAGCCACAATTTACACAAATTTTAACTCCCGTGACAAAACATGTGTCAATGTGATTGACCACCGATACATTAATTAGGCATGGAATCCATGTTCTCGTTAGGCATACGTACAACTGTCACCTTCCGAAAGATCTTAGTATGGAAGATGCAAGGGTGGAAGAAAGGAATTTCAATCCTGTTGAGCCTCCGGGGAAGTAGGAGATCGCATAATATGATAGAGCAAGAACATGCAGCAATTTATATAAGGGAGAACAAATTAATTAGCTCAAATAACCTATATATTTCTACCAGCAAGTTTGATCTTGCCAATTTAGCAAAACAGACGTGAGCAGTAGTATATCATTGTATATCAAATAATTTTAAGATTGGCGCAAGTCAGGAATCTTCTTTTGGTGAAATATCAAACACCCCTTCCCTATCGAGCAAGGACAGTGCCATGTCGAACAAGGATACAGAAAGAGATGATATTACAACAGCTGCTCTTTATCCTTTTACTACACCGTTTTGTTTTCTGAAAGGCAAAAGATGAAGGTAAGATTGTTGTCGCATCCCAAGTTTTCCCTCTTTCTCAACATGGTTCCTCAATAAAAATTGACCCAAATACCCTTTTTAGCTTTGCAAATAGTCATTATAGTAAAACGCATGTGACAAATTTATCTTTAGTTTTTTATATTAAAAGTAGAATAATAATTTACAACTTCACATATCAATAAAAAATGATACAAAAAAGAGAATAAAGAACCCAAAAAACTACATACATGGAATAACCACAAAGATTCGAGAAAGTGGCATCGATATTTTTTCATCAAATTGATGGAATGCAAATATTGACTGCTGTGGTAACTGCTAAATATGAGTCATGTTACCCATTGATGGACCACACGGGTCAACACACAACTCTTAATCTAGCGGTCAACTACCAAATCTTATTAACTCTTTCTATACGTTAGGAACAATTATCAACACCGCATATGATGGATAGTGTACCCGGGGGGTAGCTTATCCGAGGGGTTATTACGGAGAATAGTAAGAGAGAAGTCAGAGCAAGTAAATATAGAGAGAGAAAGTATATTGTAAAGTGTGGAGCGTTTTCAGCGTGGTTACAAATGGGGAAATGGAGTGCTATTTATAGTAGCAATAAATGCCGGACAGGGACACGTGTCAAGCGTCCATTGGCCGAGAGGTCACCTCAACTGGTTGGCGCTGGCAACCGCATGTGGCCGCATTTAATGCGGCTGTTGGATGGGACGTTGTACAGGGTACGATGATCTGTATGCATGTGGCGCGGATATTATGTCGGGAGAGGTGCCCTCGGCTGTAGAGGACTAGCCGAGGGCTCTGAGTATCGGGGACCCCCTTGGTGCCGAGGGCTCCAGGTGCCGAGGGCTACTGATTTTCGCCGTTTTCCCCAGCCATCTTGTTTTGCTGTCTTGGCCCTCCTGTGATAGTTAGAGCCTTCGGCCAGGGGGCCGAAGGCACCCCTGGTGCGCATTGTGGGCTGCTTGGTACTCTGGGTGCTGTGATTTGGGCCTGTTGTGCTTTCTGGGCCTGTTGGGCCTTTATTGGAGCAGTAGGAGTTTGTGGGTCGGGGTTCCCGGACCATATACTCCATCAGGAGTCCCTCACTCCTTTTGCCGAAAGGTACTTGAGGGAAAAGGAGTAATAGTGTTTGTCCTCTGTCGTTGTTCCGTTTATAGTTTGTAGAGTTGTGGGTAGTTTGCTGTTTGTTGATTCTGCCGAGGGCAGTCCCTCAGTTACCCACATGTCGGGACTTGAGGGGTCATGTTTGTGATTTTTGTGATTTTGATTTTTCCCGAGGGGGTCCTCGAGTCCCCCACTCCTTGAGACACTTGCAAAGTGGTGAAAAGGAGTAGAGTAGTTGCGCTGCTGTCGTGGGCCGAAGGCTGACGCTTTTCGTTTCATTTTGGGGGGATGCCTCGTTAAAAACCTCATTAGGAAAAACCCTGTGGGAAAAAATCCTAATGAGGGAAAAAGAGTGCACCGAATTCCCCCAATGATGAATCGAAAATGTGAAACCTTGGTTTGAAATGGAGAATGATGATGGTGCCGAAGGCTCTCCTTGTTCTGAGGGCTCATGTGTTGATCAGCCGGAGGCTTGTTGTTGATGTCCTGGGAGGTGCCGAAGGGGGGTCCCTCAATCTGGGGATCGAGGGCGTAATGAATGATGGTAGTAGTTGGAGTGTTACCGGGGTGTCCCCTGCTTGTTGATTATTTGGTGATGAGGATATCCGAGGGGTCCCGTTACCTGTGTGCCGTAGGTGATCCGTCAATGAGGCATACTCCCCCGGGGGCTACCCGGCCCTTACAGTGCTGAGGGGGATCCCCGAGGGTTGGCCTGTTATGAAGCCTTGGGCTTCTGAAGGGTTATCCCGAAGGCGTCTGTTATGTACTGTGTGGGGCACAACCCGGGAGCGTCTCTGGGTAAGTGTACCCGGAGGCTTTCCTTGATGAAGTGGGGTGAAGTAAAAAAACCCGGGGCTCCTAGAATATAGCCGTTGGAAATATAGCCGTTGGAATATGTAACGTCAGGATATAGCCGTTGGGGGGGGAGGTGCCACATGGTGCGTGGTCGTTGGCTGCCCGTGGGCAGGCGTCACCGATTGGGTGAAACCTCGGTTGGTAATGATGGCAGTCCAACCGGAGGCTCGGTTCTCAGGCCCAAGCCCGGATCCCAGCGCCTATAAATACCCCATGGCCGACTTCCTTCCCCTTGTGCGAAATCATTGTAGCGAAGCTCTGCCAAAATTTCTAGAGAGAGAAACAGCAGCCCTCGATCAATCCTTGCCTTAAGGTCAGTTCCCCCTGCTCTTCTCGTTGTAGTTAGCTGTGCCTTGTGCCCTTAGGCTAGGAGATTGAATTTTAGAAAAGCTCTAGTTCTCCCGAGCCCTCGAGTTAGTGCGTAGATGTCTTCTCAAAGCGATTCCCATGACATATCGAGGGATCTCTCGGTGGAAGAGGAGAGCTTCTCAGACGCGGGGTCCTCAAGCGGACAGCCCTCGGCCCAGGAGGATGTCGTGATGGCGATGGAGGTGCAGAAGGACGTGGTGGCTGAAGCCGAAGCCGAGGGCTTCGAACAGGAGGTGGAGGACGAAGAGCTTGCCCTCGATGTGCAAGTTGCAGAGGAAGGAAGAAAAGGAGAGGATGAAGGTGACCGTGGCCGTCCTCCCCCCTCGGGGTGCTGGTGAGGCAGGGAGCTCTCGGCCCCTCAACCCGACGCCGATAAGAGTGGCCCCCGGGAAAAAATCGGTGGAGAAGAAGACTGCCCCTAAGAAGAAGGGTGTTGCCGCTGATCAGGGGAAGCCCGTAGATGTGCCCGAGGGGTACTCTTGGCTAAACACTGCTGCCCTGGAGATAGGGTCGAAGGCTGATAGGGAAGACTTGTACGTGACCCAGCTGCACGTGGGGCCCTCGGCTGTGGTGGCGGCGTCGAGCCCTAATGACATTCTTTCCTGGGCCCCCGAGGGGTGCATTGTTGTGCACATCCTATCAGTGTCAATGGGGCTCCGGTTCCCCCTGCACCCATTCCTTCGGGAGTATCTCCGGTATGTGGGCTTGGTCCCCTGCCAGCTGACGCCCAACAACCACTCATACGTGGCGGGCTTTCTGAACCTCTGTCGAGCCCGAGGGGTGACCCCCAGCCTAGACCTGTTTTTCCAGAGCTTCAACCTCTGCCGAGGGGGTCACGCGAACGCCGAGGGGTTCGCCAATCTGCAACAGGTGGCTCGGTGGAAGCTATTCACAGAAGCGCCCTCGTCCAACAAAGGCTGGAAGGAGCGGTGGTGCTACGTCAGGGTTGCCGAGAGCCCTTTTCCGATGGAACTCAGGGACCGCTTCCGTCGGCATCCGAAGGTCGGAAGTGCAGCTTTGGAGAAGGATGGCTTGATAATAGCCAAGATTCCGGCGGGCCGCACGAAGCAAGTGTCCATTAAGGACTTCACTGCTGACAAGGAGCTTTTTGCCCTCGGCTTCCGAAGATATCGCTTCCTCGGCGAAACAGATGAGAAGTATCCTGTGCTGACAGGAGGTAGTCTCCGAGGGCTTCCGTTCTATACTTAGAATATACTTTTCCTTCTTTATTTTTGCTTTCCCTTTTGATATTATGTTCCTAACTCCCCTGCATTTTCTCTGTTTTTCAGGACCAGACATGGACGCCCGGAACCTCTCTAAGCTGAAGAAACAGCTGGCGAAGGAGACCAAGAAGAAAGACCCCTCGCCGCAACAGAGGGGGCTGGACGAGATCTACCCGAGGGCGGGTGCAAGCGAAGGGGCCCAAGAAAACGTGCCCAAGGAAAAGATTGCTGTCGGTGATGACGCTGGCTCCAATGCCGAGGGCTCCCCAGCTGAGGCCCTGAAGAGGAAAAGAGCCGGGAAGGCCGTGGCGCCTCCGGAGGGAAAAAAGCAAAAGAAGAAGGGGGCCGACCCGAAAGGGGCCCCGGTTGTCATCGTGGAGGAGCATTCCTCCCCCGAGCTCCCGGCCCAAGCCCCCAGCATGGCATGGCCTCAAGACAACGTGCAGTTCTCCATCACTAAGGGGACTGCCATCATGCATGCCACGCTGAACCTGAGGGAGTTCCTGAGGGGGGCCACCCCCCGACGGATAAATCCGTGCTCTCCCGGCAAACTGACGACGCCCTCTGCTCCAAGGTCCTCCAGGCCTCGGTCACTATAAGTTCCCCTTTCCTCCTTCCTTTTCCTTCCGTTCTCTTCCTCCCCTGTTTGCACTATAGTTCTAAATTTTGGTGATTCGTGATCTCCTTTGTAGGCAAGCCTCGGCCTCGGGGAACTTATCCAACGGATGGAGTTCTATGCCCTTCAAAAGCAGAAGGATGACGAGTCCTTGGCCGCGGCCCAAAGGCGGCTCCGGGAGGCAGAGGAGGCTTCCAAGGTGGAGAGGGCGGCTTTCGAGAAACTCCTCGAAAATGCCAAGGTCCTGGCGAAAGCCGAGGGGAGGGCCGAAGCGGAGAAAGCAGTTGCGAAGGCCGCCCAGAAGGCTGCCGAAGATGCCGAGACTGCCAAGAAGGAGGCAGTGGGGGATGCGGTGGCAGCCTTCATCGCCGAGGGGTGGAAGGCCGAGGCCCAGAGAGCGTGGGTGGCCACGGTTGTGGAGTCCTCCGTGGAGGAATGGATGAAAGGCCCCGGGGCAATGTGGCTGGCCCAGAAGGGGAAGGAATACTATGACGGGGGCGAGTACTTCACTCAAGCCCTCATCTACCGAAGGCTGGCCAGGCACCTGGGGGCAGATCCGTCGGCGTTTGACCCCGTGACTTATGGGCTCCCCCCTCTTCAACCGGACACCAGGGTTCCCCTTCCCGAGGGCACCAGCAGGCCAGATCTCGAGGACACTGTCCTGATGGCTGAATGCAGTGATGAAGAAGAGGATGCCGAGGGGGACGCTACATCGAAGCCGGCCGACGGGGGTGCTGCTGCTGCTGATGACGTAGTCATCGTGTAATACTTAGAAAATATTTTGAACAATCCTGTCTAGTTATC